CACATTCGTATACGAGTTTTTTTACTTTTTGGATTCTCTTATTCGATAACGAATAAAACGTATCGGAATTTCGAATGAAACCTTTCGAGTTTTTTCCAGTGTTGACAACAATGGACAAGCAAAACGCGCGCGAAAAAATTAAAAAGGAGTAAAAAAGCGTTTTTTTCGAACTGAAAAGGGGTAAAAAAGCACTACGGTTTTTTTAGTAAAATAAAGTTTATTTTTATAAAAATTGCACATCACATTGCTCATTTACTACAAGACTGGCATACTCCAAAAAAATTTTTTTTTTAACTAAGGGCTACAAAACATGCTTCATACTAAAGTCTTTCATATAGATTTATCAAATTTATAATATGTCGATTATTTTCGGTTAGTTAAATTTTTAGATATAAACGTAACAAATAATGTTTTGACGAATATTAGATAAATAAAAATTAAATTTCAATTTAGATGAGAAACATATTAACCTACACTGTCTGAATCTGGTTTAATTTTTCAAATCCCTCATGATACAACCATTAAAAGGTAGAATCAAATCAGTAGGGATTGTTGTCAATTTTCTTCCTTATTATATGAAACATAAAAGAGCTGAAAAGAAAAAACTTCAAAATATCCAAATGCAGTATTCCACATTTTTATGCCCTTCCTTTGATTTTGCGTTCTATGTTATTTAAATTTAAAACCCCTAATTTGTTTAAAAGTTATTTTAAAAATAGTAAAATGTCATTAAACATTCAAACTGGTATAGCCTACCACAGCACACTACCAAATGTCCTACCGATGCATCTACACCCAAATTAAAAAATTGTACAAAACTTATGAAATATATTTTCAAACCGGTCAAAATTTACTGTTCATATAAAAAAATCTGGCCTGATGTTTAAAAATACAAGCAAATACATATGAATATTTTTCAAGTTCTTAAAAAATTTTTAATTTCACTGATCTGAGTGAGTGATATACATACATAGCTTCCCAGCGGTAAAAATTCACATTATGTACTCGCTTATCTAAGTGATATTTCGTGGCAGTCAGTGGTGATGCTTTCACTTATTCTTCCACTAAGACTTAACATAAAAGTAACCTAGGCTGCCTCATCGATATGCTCTCGCTTAGAATTAAGACAAAATAAAATTTCACTTACATAATGTGTGGAGTTCTAAGCGAAGTTAATGAGATGACTATAAACGCTTGCAAATAAGAATGTAATGTATGTAGATTACAATCCTTTATTTAAAAATGATCATCAAATAATAAACATGTATTATAGTTAATCCACTAAAAATATAATTAACCAATTTTAACGAAGATAAATGAATCTTAATTTTCTTTTGAAACCTTCGGCCATCTGCCTTTAAAGATCCTGTAAATAATCAAGAGGAAATTGTCAGTATTAAAACTAGAATATATGATGTAAATTTACCTCAATTTTTAAATCCGTTTTTGCCATTTAAATCACCACAATGATTTTAAATTTTTACAATAAAATAACTTTTTTAACAAAACACAACTTCATTTACAAAAGATCAACTTTAAACTGAAACAAAAAGATTCTTCTTTTCATGTAGTATACAAAAGAAAAAAAAAAGGGTACTTTACTTCTGTTTTTTTTTAAGAAATAAAAACAAAAAACATGAAAAAGGCAGCTAACTCTCTGGTTAAATCGTCATATATGTTATAATTGAACTGAATGATCTGTTGGATTACGCATATATTGCCCTCTAAGTACATATATTGCTCGCTTATTATTTGCCACAATTTATTTTATGTTTTTGAAGAATATTTATGCTATCCAATTCAATTAGAACCTAGTTTGTTCAAAAATAGCTAGTTAATGTTGCTGTAAACTAGGGTTCTATAAATCGACTTTCGAATAGTCTGAAACTCTAAAAGTCAAAAAAAGTCGATAAGTCGAAAAATCGAATAAAGTCGAAAAGTCGTAAAAAGTCGAAAAGTCAAAAAAAGTCGAAAGAATTCGAAAATATTAAAAAAGTCGAAAAAAATCGAAAAGTAGGAAAAAGTCGAAAAGTCGACTATTTATAAAATACTTTAAGTCGAAAAGTCGACTTTTAATTAAATAAAAAAGTCGACTTTTCGTTTCAACTATAGAACCCTACTGTAAACTTAAAATAAAGGCTAAAAAACAGCGTCCCATTTACGTCAAAGAGTTATGTTAGGTTTCTAAAGTTTAAAACAGTTTTTTAAGTAAAATTTAGTGCCTTAGTATGGACTATTAAACTGATCCAACAAAAAGTTGCATACATAGAGTGATGAAAAAATTATCAGTTTTCTTAACCTTATAGAGAAAATGTTAAAGATAAATTAACTTAATTAATTCCTGAAAATTACAAAATAAGATTTAAAATATTATAAAAAGCACTAAATAATATTAGAAAAGCACCACTATAGTGCCTTTTAGAAAAAAGGCACCATGAGAAAAATTGTCCGCGTTTGGCACATCAAAAAGCACCGCAAATAGTGCTAAAAGCACTAAGTTAGCAACACTGTTTTTTCCCGAATGTAAAATTGCTTTCGAAGTACTTTACTTTTGTGAAAAAAATTAATGAGCAAGAACATTAATTTTATTAATTCTGGGAAAAAATAATAGATGGAATATTTTAGGTCAAAAATTAATTTTGCCAAAATAAATCCTTGGCAATTTAATGGCAAATCACAAGAGGTTAATGCCAAATACTTCAAAAGAGAAATAGCTCTATCTCTTCGGGTGTTGGCGGTTATAATTTTATTGCAGACATTACTTTAAAGTCTCTTTAAGAGGTAAATATAGATAATATATATTTGAGATCCAAGTTTAAATGACTAAAATAGGACAACGAGTTCAATGAATAAAATTTACATTAAATGAGTTTTAAGTTATGAAATATGGATTTCTATGTGGTAAAATAATTGTTATTTATTTAAGCACTAAAAATATTTTTAAACAAAACAAGTAAGAAAGTATATTGTGGCATGGCCGATAATATGATAGCCTACCCCAGTGTGTAGTATGTAAACAATGTTAATTATTATGTTAATAAACCATTTAAGTTGTTTATTGGAATAAAAAAGACATTTTCTGGAAGAGAGCTAATAAGGGGGCAAGGGTAAATATGGCCTATCCTAATTTTGATACAGTGATTTAGGTCTACATTAAAGTTATTTACGCAGAATTTCATCGTGATATTAGTGTTCGAATATGGAATACAACTCCCATATATGGGCCGGAGCTTCGAAGTCTATTTTGGAGCTACTCGACCGCATACAAGAGAGGGCGAAGGTACTTATCGGTGACAGTAGGGTATCCAACTCTATTGATTCACTGGAGCACCGTCGCAACATGGGGTGTATTTCATTGTTCAATGTGTTCCTCTGAAATTATTGCACTCGTTTCCGATACCCGTATATTTTTACGCAGTACACGACTGTCATCAAGAACACACCCATTTGTGGACCGCACAACACATTACAGGGAAAATTTATTCTTCAGCCGCACTAATCGTATGTGGAAAAAACTTCCTGCAGAAGTATTCCCCGTCACACTACTCGCTCTATCCTCCCTCCCACAACCTATTTTCCTAGTTCCAACACAATGCACTGCATGAGTAGGGGTCATCCCCTGAGTGCTGGTCCAAGAAAAAAAATATATATTAATGTTTATAAGAGAATTTTGACCTTCAAATCATTTTCTGAAGGGGTCTTTGTATGGGTGCTAGGGTCAAATGATTCCCGATCATTCACGAGCAGTATCATTTAGACTTGTATAAACTAAGTATTGCCGATTTTTATAGAGATACAATAACATTTAACATAATTATGAGCTCTAAAGCCGCATTCGGGGAGTATATATATATAGTATATATACCAAATTTTATCAAATTATCTTGAAAATTGCGGCCTGTAACGTGCGCACAAAGTTTACATGGACACACAGACGGCTGGACGGACATAACTAAATCGACTCAGAGTCAATTGGTATACTTTAAGGAAGGTGTAGGACCAATATTTTTGGGTGTTATAAATATCAGCACAAACACATGATACTCACTCCACTATAGTCGTGTAGGGTATAAATATGATCCAATATTTGAATTTCTCGCGATTCTCTCATAAAACGTCCATTTGAAAACCCTTCTTTTATCCAAATTCAGAAAATACAGTTTATTAATTTTGTCCATCTAGATTTTGATTTCGAACTACAGTGCAACGATGGGAACAAATCACAGCTAAATTAAATGTTTGTGACCCACCAATAAAAGATGCCTATAATCCAAAATGGGTCCAATAAATACAGCCAATATCTGCCAAATAAATACAAGTTAATAACTAAACAAACATCCATGTTGTATTTACATATCACTTGGAATATTATATTTTGCATAAAATACTCCCCTCTGCAATCAAGCTCAATAGTTATATTTAAATTTAATTTATTTTTTTTAAATTTTGCTTTAAATTTTTAATGAAACATGTGAGTTTTGTAAACATTTCGTTCAGTATTGTAAAACATATTATGAAAGTTTTTTACAACACTGAAGCGACAACTCGATTCGTTTCGTATCGAGTAACATCATGAGAAAATTACGCACCATCGAAATTAATTTCGATTCGAATTTTATTTCGATCACGACTGCGAGAATAACCCCCCGGGACTCCAATATTTATAAAATTTAGACGAGCTGTATTATTATTTATATCAAAATTTAATTTAAGTAATCTTTGAATACAAAGCAAATAAAAGTATTCGAAACCGGTTTTTAAAAGGAAAAAAACCCTCACTGGTAAAGTAGAAAAAAATCGGTTGAAAAACCGAGTCGATCACCCTAACCCATATAACATATATTTGTTTCGAATTATTATAAAAGAGAAACAATGTAAGTTTCGTTTTAATATAGTTAGAAATATAGTTAGAAGTCAAGAAATATTTCTTGTATGTTTTTTCAGAGATTTACTTATTTGTTTTTGTTTTCATATAAATAAATGTTTTAATATAATTTTAGTTTCACGCCTAATGGGAGGATCTGCGTCCGGTTCTATGGGACATATGGCAAATATGGGAAGTTTGGCTACTTGCTCTGTAAGCGATGCTAAGTCTTTACAGTTTCCTTTAACACAAAGAAGAAAACGACGAGTATTGTTTACCCAAGCTCAGGTTAGTAGAATTGATTTTGCAAAATTTAATTATTAATATCTACATGAGCAAAATCAAAAATTTTAATAATTAGGTATTTTTTTTCTTCTGACAAAATCCACCTTTAGTGGTTAAATGAGATAATAATTACACATGATAAATATGAAAACGTTAATTATTTTGATTGATGCGCGCATAAGTTATAGAGGTTTAAAATAATAAAATTTAAAAAATCGTCAAAAATACAAGTCAAGCTATTTTCAAATCAAAATGGTGCCCATTCGTTAACATTTATAAGGACTAACAGCGCATGTTAAAATAGTTATCGCAAATTTCAGAAAAAAAAAATTTTTTTTGCAGTCTATTTCAAAACTAAGTTAATATCTCAGGCGGTTTGGAAGATATAGCCATTTGAAGTAGCTTTCTCGTATATTTTTATATCAAATCAAAGTACAATCTTTAATATATCTTTTTTTTTGCAAATTTTTGGATTTGAAAACATAATTTTAATTAAATGTTTGTTTATTTGTTTATTTGCACCTTATAGGAGGCTAAACCACTGAAGCGATCTCCTTGAAATTTTCACTGTATATTCCTCTATATATGGAAGGAATACAGCCTACTTTTTATTTTTAAATTGCAAGTTAGAGAAGTGCCACGCCCACTTCCTTAAAAGTCGAATATCTCGGAATATGGTACCACTAGAATCTTCAAAATTTGTGTGGACAATTTTGACATCCATATGGATATTTGAAGGAAAAATGGGAGGACTAGCATTAGGGCGTGAAATAAATAAAAAAATTGTATATCAAGGAATCGTTTAAAGCTAGAATCCTCCAATTTTGCACTAACAAATTTGTCATCCATGTGAACATTTGGGTAATAAATTGGCGGATTAGGAATAGGGCGTGGTACCTCTCCAGTGTGGCCAATTTAGCACTTTTAGTGCTAGATTTAGCACTTTTTAAACTCATTTAGCACCCAAAAATGTAATCTAGCACGTAGCACCTTTTTTAGCATTTTTCAAATGTTTTTTGGCACTTTTTTTAGCACACTTTAGGATTTTTTGTACATATTCTTGTATGGTTAAAAATTAATTATTAATTAATTATGTACAACATAATCTGTAGAAATATCGGTTCGTATTTGACGAGCTTAAGTTACATTTAAAAATTTTAAAATCTTATATTCAATATACATTTCCAAAAATTTTTTGAATTCTAATATTCTTTACAAAGGATTTCATTTGTGTCTTCCCTTTAGACTTTTAATTAAAAATATCATTATAATTGTAAACTCAATTTCAAAAATATGTGTTTACAACCAAAAATTTTTGCGTTACGCGTCACAAACTCGTTCAATAGAACGTTTCCGGAACTAGTTCTTTAATCAATGATTTAAGTTCGAGTTTGCTATCCTCAGATATAGTTCTTTTTTTTAATTTAAATATTTTACAATAAAAAAACCAAAACAATCTAGCACTTTTTCGCAATTAGGTTTTGGCAACACTGCACCTCTCATATGAATACAATAAAAAAAATTCGTATATCTGGGAAAGTATTGAACGGGCAACATTGAAATCCATATAAAAAAGGAACAAGTTAGAGTGCTATATTCGGCTATGCCGAATCATAAATACCCTCCACCAGCAAGCTAATTTTTATTACTAAAACCCGTTTAACTATCTAATTTTTAGATAACTTGACAAAATTTTTGTTTCCGTAGTGAGTGTACTAACATTTATGCATAAGTGGAACTAATTTTGATTAGGTCCAGAAAAATGTATATTAGTAGGCCAGTTCGAAAATATTTTAATAAAATGATTTATCTACACACAGAACATACTCATGTCGAATTTTATCTGGATAAAGTGATATTAAGTGATTTTCAGTGATATTAAGTGATTTCTATCTAAAATAACACAAGTTTTCAGGAGAGCAAAAAAAACTTTTTATTTAGCTAGTTCGTGTAGATTTTTGAATTTTTTCTTCTACAATATATTTTTAAGACCATATTCTAAATCGTTATATAAAATTTTGCATTATTTGCAGAATTATAAATTTATATCAGATAGAGCTTTTTTTCTACGAAAATTTTTTTTACAACCTTTAGATAGGTTTTTCATAGAAATTTAAATTTTTTATTTGATTTAATATCAAAAAATATTATATTTTATGCAATTTAATGAAGTAATATAAACAAAACTGTTGAAAAATCAACAGATTATAAGATTTTGGTCCAAAATCAATGTTATATGGATAAACACGGCAATAAAATTAATCAAATTAGCATGATAATGAGCGATATCTCGAAAACTATTAAACCGATTTCAAATATTTTTGCGGATTTGTGTGCAGCAAATTAGTAAAAATTAGTAAATAAATAATAGACTTTGAAGCAATTTTTGGATAAAATAGAGAGTTTTGCATTCAGAATTTTTCTATTTATAAGATAGAGAAATTTAAAAATTACTATAAAATTGCCAAAAAATACTTTTTTTCTTTTGAAATTTTTGTCACTGATGCGGGATAGTTTGCTGGATATTTTGCCATCAAAATCTTATTTTCATGAAAATGACAGATAGAGACTATTGAATATAGTCCCTCGATATACCATTAAATAAATTTATTACATTTTATAAAAATTTGTATAAACATTTTTGAAAATTGTTAAAAAAAAAACAAGAAACATGCAAGTAATTATATGGTAAAAACATGAAATATTTTTATAAACTCTTTAATTTTTCATCGATTTTTATAAAATTAGTTTTTATGTACCTACGTTATTTTTTTATTAATTAATAATATTAAATGCTGAATAAATTATCTTTCTTGTGTTAAGGTAGGGGGCTGAATAAAATTTTTGTATTGTAAATTAGTTTGAAAAAAAAAAAAAAGTTTTCGACCATATCCCTAGCAAATTAATTGTCTGTAGTTAGAACTATACAGGTATTTTTAAATACCTGTAAAATAGCTGTTTATGCATAAAAGTGAGCATTTTAGAAGCAAATAGCACATATAATTAAATATACTTTATTCCAGTATAGCCACAATTTTAGATTTTGGGGAAGGATCCGAGATATCAGAAGTCGCGCATAGAATATGACTTTGAATTAAAAAATTGCCTAAGAGTGAAATATAGTTACATTCAAGCCATAAATATTGATATATTATATGTTACGATCGGACTTAAAATGGCGACGTTATATATAAAAAACAAAAAGGGCGGTATTTCTAGGCCTGGCAATAAAATATTTTTTATATTTTTGGAAATGTTATTAACATATCTTTAATCGTAGGGGGTGACTGACTCAACTTTTTTTCGACCCACCCTAATGTATAGCCATTGAAGCTTCCTATTGTAGATCTATCAAGTTTGCATACCCACCATCAAAAAAGGTGGGGGGTATATTGTTTTTGTCATTCCGTTTGTAACACATCGAAATATTGGTTATAGACCCACAAAAGTATATATATTATGGGTCCTTATTAAATTCTACGACGATCTAGCCATGTCCGTCCGTATATCTGTTGAAATCACGATAGGGACCACACGGCAGGAGCTAGACAGTTGAAATTTTGCATAAATATTCTCTTTTCTTGTTTGGTATTGAAAATGAACAATATCGGTTCATGTTTTCGAATAGCCCCATACAAGTGGACCCCCGAAAAATAGCTTTAACGGTCATAACTGTTAAAAAAGTACGAGTGTAGCGATGAAATTCGACATAAATAATAATCATATGAGCCAAAATCTCCCTACCAAATTTTGTGAGGATCGGTAGATAATTGACCCTACCCCCCATATAAGATCCCCTTCTGAAAATTACTATAACGCTCATTACAGGCTTAAAAATAATAATATAGCGATAAAATTCGTCACACATAAGTTTCATGCGAGTCAAACCTCTCTACCAAATTTTATGCGGATCGGTCCATAATTGACCCTACCGCCAATATAAGGTCCCCTTCAGAAAATGACTTTAACGCTAATTACAGTCTTAAAAATACGAATATATCGACGAAATTAGACACACTTAAGTAGTTCCATGCGAGCCAAAATCTCTCTATCAAATTTTATGTGGATCGGTATAAATGACCCAATCGCCCTTTTAAGGTCCCCTTCAGAAAAAGTTTCCTACAAGCCAAAACCTTTTTATTGCCTTTTATAAGAATCGGCTCATAATTGACCCTACCCCCCATATATGGTCCACTTCAGAAAATTACTTTAACGCTCATTACAGGCTTAAAAATACGAGTAAAGCGGTGAAATTCGACACACATCAGTTTTATATGAGCGTTAATCTTTCTACCGAATTTCATGCGGAATGTGTCGGAAAATTACTTCACGCTAATTACTGGCATAGAAATACGAGTACAGCGATGATATTCAAGGTAAACAAATTTAATATGAACCATAATCAGTCTACAAAATGGTATGAGGATCGGTCGATAAATGACCCTACCCCTCATATAAGGTCCTCTTCAGAAAATTTCATGAGGATTATTCAAAAAAAATTACGAGTACTCGATGAAAATCGGCATAAAAATTCCGAATTTAATGAGTATTATTCTATAACTGTGCTTTTTAAAATACTAGTTTTGCTTATTCAAAAATGCGAGTATAACGATGAAATTTGACATAAACAAGTTCTATAAAAACCAAAATCTATGTACAACATTTTATTTGTAAATTACGCTTACGCTCACAGTATAGAAATTAAAAAATATATTTTGTTTTTAAAAATTAATACTTTGTTACTTCAAAAGAGATAGGTCCATAATTGAGTTAAGCCATATTCCAAATATCACCCTAATGTTTCCCTTTACGGCATACGGTTTGATAGTGGGTATAAAAAGATTCGGCATGGCCGAATATAACACTCTTACCTGTTAAAATTGGTGTGGTTGTAACATGTACTGGCGTAATTGGAACATGCACAAAAGGTGCAAAAAGTACCAAAAAATACAAACACTTTCCCTTTTTTCACTCATATCTAAAATTTTGACTATATAAATTTC